AAGATAGGAGTATGCTTTCTAGAACTGTATATTGCAGAGTCATGCAATCAGATGTTGGCAGTATCTTGGCTGTGCCAGCTGTATACAATGAATAGTAGTGTAATCTGCTTTCTCCACAAAAGCATAGTCTGAGCCACCATGCAGGATGGATATTCCTTGGGTTTTTTTCCCTCTGCTTGTTGGTTGTCTTAACTTCTGGGAATGTAACTGTTGGGTTCTTTCATGCTTGTATAAAACTTGCACATTTTGGTATATGTGGCATGCTCTAGGGTAGGGAGTTTAAGATTGGGTTATCAATTTTTAGTACCTCAGTAGTTGCACTCTGCTTTTAACACTGACTCTACTTGGGGTGCACACGAAGACAAATCTGTAAATGCTGTGTTTATTTTATGCTTTTGGAAATGGTGCAGTGCTGCAAAGTGGGGTGAGCTAATCTGACAAGCCCCTGTTGAAAGAGGGGTGTCCTCTCTTCCCTGGCTAGTTTTCTACTTCTCTGACTAGAACTTGGGTTCTAGTCTGACTCATAATGCTCATTCAGTTCTCTAAATTATAAGCTGATTTGTTGGTTTTCTGAGTAGTTGTTTTCTGAGTTGATGACCTGAATTAGCCAGTTGAGAGGTCAAAGAAGTGTTGAGCTGTGAAAGCTGAGAATTGATAGGGATAGAGTGAAAGCCTCCCCCTCATGCTGCTGGCATGTTTAACTGTCTCTTAAGTCTCACTTGCCAAATGCAGGATTTCTTGAGAGGACACAATAACCTAATGTGGGCAATGTAACGGCGAGTTCAGCAGAAGAATTCCTGATGGATGAAAAGATGAGCCCTACCTTCTCTTGGCTTAAATTTGGAGCTAGTCATTGCAGTGAATAGGATGGTGCCCACTGATGCTGGGTGTAGGCCTGCAGTTGTGGGGAAAACACAGTTTATGGGCATCAGTCTTCACAGATACACTCATCACTTAATGAAGAAAATACAGTTGCCCCTATTTCTTCAGCTCTTTTTGTGTTTGTTCTTAGCCCTTTGCTGCTTCTACCAAGTTAGTACTTACTATTTCCTCCCATTTTTCTGGATCACAAATGTTAGCATGTTCTCAGCACGGATCACTGTGTGATTCCACTGGTGATCTTTCTCCGTTCCGAACACTTGAGTTTTATATTCATACCCTGTTTCCTGTCTTTCAGCCAAGTGTTTATCCATGTGAGGACTTTCCTTCCTATCTCATGGCAGTTGTGTTCCTTAAAGAACCTTGGGTGAGGGACCTTGTCAAATGCCTTTGGGAAATCCAGGTAGACTATATCAATCCATCCTTCCTTGTCCATATGCTTGACTCATTCAAAGCATCACAGTAGATTTGTGAGGTGTTACTTGCTTTTCCAGAAGTCCATGCTCTATAATAGTCTCTATGCATATACCCACTCATTCCGGGTTTTTTATGTAACTCCTGTTAACTTAACCCCTTGTGAACATTAGGTTAATGGTTCTGTAGTTCCTCTTGACTGTCTGCTAGAACCCTTTTTTCCCCCCACTATGAAAATTAACATAGTGTCATAACTACTTTGTGTTTGCTGTTGCTATTGAAGTCCTAAATGAGACATACCCAACAGTTTAGAATGAAATACTCTAATTTGAATTCTTGTGACTTACTACTGATCTTCCTTTGGTCATTCCGATGCTAGCACTTGTACTGAGTCTTCTGTGATTACTGGTTATGGTGCATGATCTTCTGTGGTGAACACATGTGGGAAGATTCCTTACTGCTGTATTCATATCCTTGCATCACACTAGATGCTCATTTGCAGCTTTTAGCAGATACTGGCTACTACTCCTTTAGTATGGTCTACCTCTTGCTTAAGTTCTGTATCCTTTATTGGGAAGGTTTACCTAGGAAGTTTCTTATCAACTGTGCCCTTTGTACAGATTGTGTGTTGACCCCTAGTAGATGGTTATCAGACATACCCTTCTCAATACTTGTAAACTTCCCCATTGCTTTTTAGCTTAGAATAAGGATAATCTTTGTCTTTCACGTGAAAAAAAAAAAAATCCCAATCCCAAGGTATGTACTTGATGTTTTAAACATCTTTCTTAGGTAGCACTCAGTGTAGTGGTGACCACTGTCCAGCTCCTTTGTGCTTTCCAATCTACGCATGCCTGTCCCCACTGTTACTCCACAGTGGCTGGAGATGAGTCAGCAATCTTTGCAACGAGGAGCATCTTAGTCATAGTAGTAGAATGTAGGGACTTTAAAAAATGGCATGGGTGTTTACTGTAGTTTTGTAGTATCTTAAACAGTTGCTTTGAGTCTCAGTTAAATGCCCCTTTTTTGTAAGAATATACAAACCTGATCAGACCAGATGCCTGTTTATTGTGATGCTTCTTATAACAACCAACAACAAATGCCTTGGGAAGGGTATAAATCTAGGGTGTGTCATTCTCCAGAATATTCCCTTATCCTTCCACATCTTGTACTTTGGGGATTTCCTTCTCTGATGGTATGATCTGACAGTAGCATAATGAAGTGGCAGCCACATTCAACTGAAAAAAAACTGGAATGTAACCACCTAAACTACAGTATCTGTCTTTGAATCTGCATTACACTATTCCATAACGCAGCATAAGCATCTCTGGATTGTGTATGCAGTGAGTTGTCATTGCTGCAGTAATCCTCCTTACTGAAATGTAATCTCACAGTTGCATTTTGTCTTGAATAGCCTCTGAGGCTTTCACCTCAGAGTGAAAGGTAAAGCTGCACTTAGAACGTAAAGTATTTGTTCTGTTAGCAGGCAGAGATGGCTTTTTTAGAATTAGTTCTCCACTGGAGAAGATACAGTTGTGCTGTCCTTTTGCTTTTGTATTGCATGAGCGATTAAGATTATTCATCAAGTTTAAACTTTCAGGGCTGGATTGTGGTCCTACTGTGGAAGAACAAGGTATGTGCATGATATGACTTTGTCTTGTTGAAATACCAGTGCAGACATTTGTATTCTAAGTAAAATTGGGCTCTTTGCTAAACTAGAAACCTTGTTCTCCAACAGCTTTGTAGGTAGGCTGATAAATCTTTGGGTAAAATATTTATAGGTGGGACTCTAATCTACAATATGTGCTCCTCGCAATGGATAAAGCACAGAAGAACACAAACTCTGCTTTAAAGAAAAGCTAGATCTTCCGTAATGTGGTGTTGCTGTATGTTGCTTTCAGTGTGTGTTGCTGTGTGATGGTTAGAGACCACCAGTAGGATGCACCGAGTTGCAAGTGTAATTGAAATACCATGGTGTTCTTCAGAAACCTGCCAGCTCGAGAAGAAATTGGTGTTACTCGGGTTCCTCTGGCTTTCGTAACTGCAGAAAAGATCTAATGGGATAAACTTAATGTGATCTTAGTTAGTTAAACTTCACACAAAACTATGTGTGTTTGATTAAAGCATAATGGTCATACTGGATGTCCTGTGTCTTCACACCAAAGATCTCCAGAGGTGGTGGTTTGTAAAGGTTTTATCAAATCTTTCTTTTTTTGTTATTGTCTGTGATTTGGAGAAGCAAAATCTGCTGTTAGAGGTAGGGCTTTTCTTCCCCCTTTTGGTAAGAATAGAGTCACTACAAAATGTGGAGACCTGTTGGAGGCTGATAATGTTGTTCCTGCCAGGAGAAAAAGATTGAGCTGACGGTTTCTGTTGCTGATGTGGCTTACGCTTGTGAAGGTGGTGAGTTTTGGCATCCAAGGACAAAAATGTCAGTTAAGCTTCATTAGTTTCCCACTGCTCGTGCTGCCATGACACAGCAAAACATAGTGACATAAAATGATGGGGGTGGGATGATGAGTGGGCAGGATAAATAGGCCACAGAAGAGTGAGGTATCGTGTTAGGGGTGGCATAGCCTACTTGTATCACCGTGCTTTTGGCAGGCTCCAGGCATTCTCGTGTCCCTCTACCTGGCAGGTAGCTGAGAAACAGTTGTCCTGTTGAGTAGGTGGTGTAGTTGGGTCTTGTTTTCATCTGTGGAATTCCCAGCAGTTCTGGAAGCTGGAAGTTACATGGTGAACGAAACGAAGCACCGTGTGGCAAGACAAAACCCGTGACTCCTGAATGTCTCATCCTAGCCTCTCAACTAGTGTCTGTTTAACACTTTTGGCTTTTATTTTTCTATGTCACAAGCAATCATACTGTGGTTAGGTAATGAAAGGATTATAACCTTCCTTAAGTGGTTCGAGCCTTTGCTTCCACTTGAGTAGAGGAAAGCTATAGTTAGTAATAATTGTTTTAACCTTAGGTTTTGAAGTCCTTTCCAAAAGGTTTAAACTATAAATATCAAATACTTCGTGTTTTGTGTGTTAATTTTCAGTGTAAGTAGCTGCTTGGCATGGGTGGATATGGTTCCTCTGGGTTTCCTCAGGATGACTTTTTTTGTTGCGTCTTCTCTAAGTGCCTCATTTCTCATTTGGTGGTTCCCTTTGGCACTCTGACTTGCTTTCCTAATGACAGCACTCATACTTCATCTGTTCAAATCTGGATGTTCCAGTTGACACATCACTGGAGCCTTCTGTAATTCTTCAGTTTATTCTCACTGTGCTGAAAGCCAGGTTACATTTGTTCATGCTTTTCTCCCTGTTAGTTGCCTTTTCTGAAG